GCGTTAAAAGCCCAAGTGAAATTGAAACCAAAGGAACACATTTTGGACTGAATTCATCTCCTAATTTTACTATCGATAGAAATGAGTGATTTGTGTTTTTAAATATGGTTAACTTTAGCAAATCACCAAAGAGACAATTTAATGATCTCTTAATTTCCGTACAGTGTAGAGGAGCATCAAGGAAATAATAATATTTGGTAATGAAATAAATAAATAATAAAGCAATTTGTTAATATAAATAGTGTCTCAACAAGTACTTATTTTTCATATCTCAGCTGGCCTGAAGAGCCATAATGGTATACCGCGAAAGGCCTCGCCGGCACTGGTTACAGCAAATATAGTTTGCTAGACATATTATACTCTTTTTTACTTTTACTCTGAATTTGTTATTAATAGTTCAGAAACATATGTTTATGGATTTGATAATTTCCTGTCACCCTTTATATCATCAATGTATATACAACGATATTAAAACTTGCAGTCTTTAGACTCAGCTTATCTGGCAAGTCGCATTGCGGCTAGAAAACAAAACGTTGTGCAAAACGTGATTCAGTTCGAGTACAGATGATAAATTTATATATGGTCACAACGACGCATATCAATTTAAAACACACTTATCAACAGAATATAAGAGCCAAAAATATTCAAAGAACAGTAAAAACCTGTAACCATGACAGCAGTGTTCTTGTTACAAGAGAAAAAAATTCTCAAAACATGATTTAGTAATGAGCATGTAACTTGTATGTTAAGACAGAACCACCATACTTCAATGTCAATGCTACGAATCGATTCGTATCTAAAGTTTAGTCTTGTCGATCAATAATACAAATGTTTGTGATGGTCAGATTATCCTATTTGTTGATAAATAAATCAAGTGTATTAGATTAAACCAGGTACGTGTTGAAAGTCTTAAGAAAGACAAGCTTGTACACAAAGTATTGGTATGTTCATAAAATTTAAAAAGCCTACCATGTAAAGTATTTATTCGATGCGTCTAAAGCTAATGATGACACATAAACCCAACGCTGGAGTATCTGGCTGCAGTGAACGCACGACTCACCTAGACAAATGGCGGATAACGCATTTACGTACGTGTAGCTGATAATTTTTCGTCGATGATGACAATTGCTTAGCAGTAAATAGTTTGAAACTGCTCTAAAATGAACTGATTATTACTAAATGTATTCATGTCTTCTAGGTTTAGTTGTATTATTAATTAAATAAAAAGCTAGTAACTGTATTGCGTGCTCCGTTTCGTAGCACCAGCTATTACACCAAATATTTGCTGAATATGCTGTCTGCATGTCAATAAAATACACTCTGGTAATGTCTTCACTTCTACCTTACAAAGAAACTATAAATATATAATAAAGCTGTATGTTTATACAGTACTAAGTGGTTGTTGTCTCATCTTCTACATCTTGACACGAGTACCACCCAATCAAGCGATCTGCTTCTCAACACCCCCTGCCTTGTTACCTTCCCATTCATAGTATGTTTGTTCTTCTCAGAAAGGAATGGCGATTGAGGCCTTAAAACTGGTTGTACTACATCAAAACCGGTCGCTTACCTAATTTACACATTTGAACCCAACCTATCTATAATGACAGTGGAAGTATACACAGCAACTCTGTTTTAATACCCCACCCTTTTGAAACTTAGAGTAACCAAAATTTTCAAAATCAACAAAAGCTTGATGCAGTTTTGTGTTGTTGGGTTGAATGCTTTATAAATCCTCGGGATATTTGAAATTAAGGTTGCGCTCGTTTGCATCTGAAAGGAAACTATAGTTTCAGTAATATCTCTGGAACAAAACTAGCAGCTTTTTGATGTGTGTGTGTGTAGATTTAGAACAGAAGAGTTTAAAGTTGGTAATTATAAACGCGGGTTTTTCACGAAGAGAGGCTACACTCCAAAACGTATACTAACTAGCTTACGTACCAGAATATAAAAGGTCAGAAAGTGGTCAATATCTCTACGAACATTTTGGAAATTATAAGAAGCCAAGTAAATAGAAATTTAAATAATAATGTTTGTAGGTATAGCTATTTGTGTCTACCTATATGTTTATATATAAATGGTACAATAAACGCATTTTATTCGGTAATGAAAACTGTGAATATGTCTGGTGAATGTATGCCTAATACCAAAAATATAAACAGTGCGATTTTGTGAACACATTAACCAATTCAATAAACAATGAGTAAGAGATAGATGTCTAATAAAATAAAAAAATCAATAAAGTTATGCAAATGACGTTAAACTTTGTATACCAAACGTACGAGTAATCCACCTCTTAAGCTTATAATATTAATAAAAAAACAGACGTACTAGGGACCAAGTATAACGCTAACACTGCTTAAATTAAAAACCTACTTATATTTTAAACCAAGTGATATAAAAACACGAACATAGACTTCGTTCACAATTAAAACATTTCCATTATCAGAATCACACACTCAAAGGTTGCATATAAATTCACATAAAAATCATAAACGTCCCAACTGGTAAGAAACCCATCACATACGTAACGACTTCCTGTAAGTGTAACTCACGTAAGGATGTACTAAGTGTCGTACTAATAAATATATATATGAGAACAAAGTAGAACGTAATTATATATACGGATATTAAACACAGCAGTCAGATCAACACAACTACACGTTTAATACCTCTTTAAAGCATTACACAATACCAAAGTAATGGCAGAACTCTCCATACCATCAAACGATAGTAACAGGGAATTTTTTTGTACATTAATTTTCAAGAATTCTTCGCAAAACACAATCATGCTGGAACCTATAAAATACAATGTAAATGTTTTATTTTGAATAGTTAATATTTACAGTAAAACGTAGCTTAGTTAGCAAAGCTTTTGTATTATCAAAATATCTATTATAGGAAACTACAAAAGCAGAATTAATTATTCTATCAAACTTTATTTACCAACTGTTTTGAAGTGGAAACCTTCATTTTATTTAACGGTGAAGATTAAAATGTTCTCACTGAATAGGGGCAGACAGTATTATTATTACTGATGGCTATCAGCATTCTTTAATATTCATATATGTAGACTGATTACGTGGGTGATAACTATATACATTACCCCAACAGAGAAATATATTTTTCTCACGCTATTTCTCTCATAAACTTCCTGTACACACATGAAGACAGCTGCTTTAATCGTGACAATAAACGTGCGACTGAGTGAAATAAAAACTGCATGGAAGGACAAATATCATTTATTCATTCACTAAAATTTTTATTATCACAGTTGTATCAACGTTTACTCCAACAATGGGTCGTCTGAAAATTGCAGATTTTGTACGCATGTCAGTCTTTTGATCTGTGACAAAAATAAAGCTTGTTTATCTAGTAACACGTCCATTGTCGTTGTTTAACATTCACAATTTACTAAATGAAAATAATGAAAACCACATTTGCAGGCATTTCTGTATATTGCCGCAATAAAGTAATATAGAGCTGAGGTAATTTCAACAACCATGGATTAATTTTGTCAGAACAGTATAAGCAATAAATATTCTTATTCGTCACAAGTTTTTTGGTGGCTGCATAGCAGTGACGTTTTCAAAAATAATCTAGTACGAAGCAATTTATTTCAGTGTTTGAGAAAGCAACTTTCTTCAAATTCTTAATCGCAAAACTGAATATTAACCCTCGAAAAATGGGTTCAAATTAAAATAAGTTATTTCAATACAGGTAAATATATTTATAGGAAGTAAACTGCAATACGTTTCTAATTTTCTTTGGCCAATTATACATTTCGTTTGCTAATAAGGTTTGTTTGTTGTTAAGCGCAAAGCCACTCTATGGGCTATCTGCGCTGTGCCTAGCACGGGTATCAAAACCCGGTTTTTAGCGCTATAAATCTTGAGAATTTTCGCTGTGTCACTGGGGGAGGACAGCTAATACAGATTAATTTATGGGTTTCCATTTATAATCCTGTCACGGTTAATAATGTGAATAAACATTATATTTTAGTTCTGTTCAAAAAGTCAACTCATTATCATTCTGTACGTTTTACAGTAAATAAGTCAAGCTACAACAGTGCAAGCCAACTTACTGATAACAAAAGTTTCAAATATTACCAAAATATATACGTAACGTTGTATTATTAGTGTATATGCGTATTACTTATTAATAAGCTATTCTAACAAATAACTTATGAACAAGGTTCTAAGCTATTATTAGAGAGTTAATAGTTTCGTTTTGAGCTTACTTTATCATTAAATATTATTTGATTACAAGTTACAGCTTTTACAGTAAGGAAGAATATTTTTAGAACAAGTACGACGTTTCGATCATTATCAAGTACACAATTTTTTACTACATATGTACTTCACTACTTGAGAATGATTGCATCAGTGATCGAAACGTCGTACCTGTTCTAACAAATAATCTTCCTTACTGTAAAAGTTGTAACTTGTGATAAAGTAATTAGTAAAGAGTGTTAATTAGTACGCACAATGCCTACTAATACTATTATTACAAATAATAAGGCCATTTTTTTACATCTTCGTTACTTAGGCCTAAGCCGTAACTTCTTGATATTATACAACTCGAAACAGTTGCACTCTAGTTTGTTGGTTGTAAAAACGTTAATAAAATACAAAACATGAGTGTAACACTTACTGATTAAACGCTTAGACCTTAACACTGATATCCAATATAATTATTCTTAACGATACAGATGTTAACTGCTATTTCTAAAATCAACAAACAAGTATTTTGAATTAATTCATTACTTAAATTACTTCATAGTTTATACTACTATTATTAATATTATACTTTTATAGAGCTTTAGTGGATGATCGTGTAGACAAGTAGAAGGTTACAAAAGTCATAAGAGTAACTAAGTCTAAAACTTAAGGCGACGAAAGAATACGCTTATAATTTATATTACAATATACATCACATACTCAGATATTTTTATCTAATGAAATAAGACATTTCAGATAAGAATTACGATTATCACTTACCTGGCTTTTGAGTTGCAAAAACACTCCCTAAGAGTAAAAGTATAATTCCCGAATTGTATAGCATATTTAATAATTATAGCTGTTATATCAGATTTTCACCAACTGACGTAAATTTTATATAAAAAAGTGAATGTTACTGTTAGAATCACACGTCCTTCTTCTTCTCCAAGAAATGAAGAATAGGCCTTCTTTCTTCTCGCAGGTTCAGACCAGTGATTTTATAACACACAATACGTCACTCAAACAGAAAGCGGTGATACCGACTGCGCGAGCGCCCTCAGTTGATGAGTTTAGAAAACTACGTTCAGTGAAATGGCCAGCAAATATATTAACGGAAGTTTAAAAAGAGAGAGAGAGAAAGCGACAGAAGCTGGTGTGCAGCAATAAACTACCAGAATTCATGCAGAAAATGAAATGGAAACTAGTTTTCTTATTGCTATCTCAAAGATTTTGAGAGGTGATAAATTAATTATGATATACTCCCCAGTGGGTCAGCGGTAAGTTTTTCGGACTTACAACGCTAACATCTAGGGGTCGGTTCCCTATGCTGGACAGATCACATGTAACCCATTGTTTAGCTAAAACAAAACAAATATTATAGAAAAATATTATAAGAAGTAAATCGCATCGTTTTTTAATGTTACACTACGTACTGGTGATTAATTGTATTGAAAAGCAACCCACATGAGACCTGTTATCCTGACAAGTTTATATGGAAGAAACCAATAATAATGCACTGAATGATTAAGCTCTGCTAAATAGCATGTTGTGGCAAAGATATCTATAACATGGCTGTCAAGATACTACTAACGTCAGGCGTTGTTTATTGTTTAGTTATTAGTGCGGATCGAAGAATATAAGGTTTTGAGTCATGAATGCCTCAAACATGTTCCGCACTTTCAACAGTAAGCAGTATAAACATCAGGGATGGTTATACCTAAATAACAGAGTTCTGATGGTCCGTGATCTTGGTCCACTCCCCATCAAGTCTAAAGTTAACCAAACTTGGCACATATTTTTTAATGATTTAGTTCTATTTTGTGCAAAAGTTCCAGTGTTTGTGTTGTACTATAATTAGATTAATGGGGCAATCTGTATAGAGGGGTTAAATTTCAGCAGTCTTCCCTCTACTGACACTGATGCACACAAAACTTGGCACATATTTATTGCTGATTTTGTGTTATATTGTGCCGAAAAATATAGAATTTGTCCTGACTGAACTCAGACTCACGGTGCAAACATTTTATGTGACAATAACTACACTTCTTTAATGTTGACGGGCATGGACTCGTTTTGCTTTCCATAAACAAACTTGACCTACCAGAATGTAGGCAAGGCTAACTAATCTTATCTATTTACCGTAAATTAAGATGAAAAAAAATTGATGTAAATTAAACTGTTAAAAAAAAACAATAAAAGTTAGACAAGTTTCATTTGAATAAGAGTTGGGATGTTGGCGTGAAGTTATCCCCCCCCCCCCAGGGGCCAGGG